TCATCTCTGCTCATTAGTCTGTCATATCCTTACCTTTGGCTATGAGTCTATCAACAAAAAAGCAGATGACTAGGTACACTGCCCACAACTCTGACAACTGAGAGTTCCATTACCTAGCAATTTTTAGAAACCCCTCTGAATGGAACTGTAGTGCCACCAAAGTCCATTTTTGTCTTCTACTAACATAGAAGTACCAACATACTGCAAACCAAGCCTGGGTTCCTCCTCTTTATCAGCAGCTTATAGGAACCCTTCATGAAACTAAAAATGAGCTGATGGAGAAGCATCAGTGCAACAGTGACAGGTGACATAGAGTCATGGGCCACTGATTTGTAAGTGGCCCCTGGATCAGCCTTTCCCATCTTCAAATGAATTGTTGCTGGACATACCTGAACTTATTATTTGATGGGTCTATCACTATTCAGTTCATGGTGGGTAGTTATGGCCACTTGATCACATTAATGACTCACGACAAACACTCTCTTCCATAGCACTCTCTTCTTGTATACAGCAGTATACAAGAGTTGTGGTTTGCAAAATATGATTCAGATAGTATGCTTTGCTACAGAACCTTAGAAGTGTACATTGTGATTCTTTTCAAGTACTTGCCAGATATTCCACATGGCATCCATTTATATCACTGATGCCATAGTATCATGAATCTTCTGGCATATAAAGCCCAAGTGTGAGGGTGGCTTGTATTTCAGCCTTACCTACTGCATACCCCTTTCTTGCTCTAGGCCCCATCCTAAACTTGAAGCTATCTATATCACTCAATAAATGCACGGAAAAATATTTCCTAGCACTGTGCTACCTCTTAGCAGTAGGAGTTGCAATGTACAACTTACACTTTGCTATGAACAGGATGTCCCAGTGTGCTCAAGATGTCCGGACCCCTGAAAGCTTAAAAGGCGGCAGGCTCCTAAAACTTTGTATGTTTGTCTTCCATCCTCTGAGGTGCATGTGTTTTATGAAGGCAGCCAGAGTAATTGCCACTTATTTGTCAGGTCCAAATACTATGTCATCAATATAGTGGGCCAGTGTTAGGTTCTACAGAACGCCAGGGTGATACTGGTCCCTTTAGTCTACATAGTGATACTGGGAAGAATCAGCCTAAGCATTTCTTAATGGATCCCCTATTTTAATTGGATAAAATTATATTCTGTGCTAGAATAAAATGATATTGAGAAGTCTATGATTTTGCTGCACCTATATTTGACAAAATGGTTAAAAGAATCATAATTAGAGAAAACTCACTTGACAAGTGTTATATTTAAAAGTATTTGTCAAAGAAAAACACTCTTAACAGAAAATAATTGTGAAAATACCTGGTCTCTAATATTTAGATATTTTAATATTTAAAAATTAGAATTGAAAATTAGCTTACCGTCCAGGCACAGTGGCTCATGCTCATCCCAGCACTTTGCGAGGCCGAGGCCAGAGAATCACTTGAGGCCAGGAGTTCCAGACCAGCCTCAGCAACATGGGAAAAGCCCATCTCTACTAAAAAAATTTAAAAATTAGCCAGGCATGGTGGTGCATGCCTGTAGTCTCAGATACTCCGGAGGGTGAGGCACGAGAATCGCTTGAACCTGAGAAGAGAAGGTTGCAGTGAGTCAAGATGGCACCACTGCACTCCAGCCTGGGTGACAGAGCAAGACTGCATCGAAAACAAAAAAAAAGAAGGGAAGGGAAGGGAAGGAGCTTATCTCAACTCTCTCTCCAGTTAAAAATACAGTGGCTTACAGAGAAGAGTAATTTGAGTGTCCGCATTTTCACATTTATTAACTATGAAATGCAGCTTTGAGAAGGATTGCAGACAATTTTATAGAAAAGCAAAACATAATAATATATTGAAAACAATCATTCTTCAGAAGAACTTTGGCAACATAGTATTAAAGAAAGATGTATCTAAAGAATTGATCAATACCACCAATGGCACTCTTCACAGAAACACAAAAAAAAATCCTAAAATTAACATGGAACCACAATGGACCCAGAATAGCCAAAGCCATCTTAAGCAAAAAGTACAAAATAGGAAGAATCACATTACTTTACTTCAAATTATGCTACAGAGCTGTAGGAACCAAAATGCATGGTACTGGCATGCAAATAGACACATAGACCAATGAAACAGAATAGAGAATCCAGAAATAAACCCATACTTCTACAGTGAGCTCATTTTCACCAAAGATGCCAAGAACATACACTGGGGAAAAGATAGATTCTTCAGTAACCAGTACTGGAAAAACTGGATAGCCATATGCAGAAGAATGAAACTAGACCCCTATCTCTTGCCATACACAAAATAAAATTAAAATGGATTAAAGACTTACAACTAAGATCTCAAACTATAAAACTACTAATACAAAACATTGGGGAAACTCTCCAAGATATTGGTCTGGGCAAAGATTTCTTAAGCAATATCCCACAAGTCCATGCCAAAGCAAATATGGGCAAATGGGATCACATCAAGTTGAAAGGCTGCACAGCAAAGGAAACAATAAAGTTTAGAGACAACCCAAAGATTGTGGTAAAATATTTGCAATGACCCATCTGACAACGGATTTTTAACCAGAATACATAAGGGACTCAAACAACTCTACAGGAAAAAAAAAAAAAATCTAATAATCTGATTTAAAAATGGGCAAAGGATCTAAATAGACATTTCTCAAAAGAAGACATACAAATGGCAAATTAGTATATGAAAAGGTTCTCAACATCATTGATCATCAGGGAAATGCAAATCAAAACTACAATGAGATATCGTCTCACCCCGCTTAAAACATATCTTATCCAAAAGACAAGTAATAACAAATGCTGGTTAAGATGTAGAGAAAAGGGAACACTTGGAAACTGTTGGTGGTAATGTAAATTAGTACAGCCACTATGGAGAACAGATGTAAATTAGTACATCAGTTAGTAAATTAGTACAAGAGAACTAAAGTAAATTAGTACAGCCTCTATGGAGGTTCCGCACAAAACTAAAAATAGAATACCATGTGATTCAGCAATCTAACAGCATGGTCAGTAAAAATATTGTAAAAAGGAAAGGAAATTGGTTGGGCATGGTGGCTCATGCCTGTAATCCCAGCACTTTGGGAGGCTGAGGTGGGTGGATCACAAGGTTAGGAGATCGAGACCATCCTGGCTAACACAGTGAAACCCTGTGTTTACTAAAAATACAAAAAATTAGCCAGGCATGGTGACACATGCCTGTGGTCCCAGCTACTCGGGAGGCTGAGGTAGGAGAATTGCTTGAACCTTGCAGTGAGCTGAGATTTCGCCATTGCACTCCAGCCTTGGCAACAAGAACAAAACTTTGTGTCAAAAAAAAAAAAAGAAGAAGAAAAGGAAAAAGAAAGGAAATCAGTATATTGAAGAGATATCTGCACTCCCATGTTTATTTCAGCACTATTCACAATAGTCAAGATTTGGAAGCAACTTAAGTATCCATCAACAGAGAAATGAATGAAGGGAATGTGGTACTTTTACACAATGGAGTACCATTCAGCCATGAAAAAGAATGAGATTCTGTCATTTTCAACACTGGATGAAACCTGAGGATATTACATTAAGTGAAATAACCCAGGCACAAAAAGGCAACCTTCACATGTTCTCATGCTTTTGTGAAAGCTAAAAATTAAAACAATTGAACTTATGGAGATCGCGTGTACAATGATGGCTACCAGGGACTGGAAAGGAAAGTGGAGGTGGTGGGAATGGAGATTGTCAATGGATGCAAAAATATAGTTAGATAGAATGAATAAAATCTAGTATTTAATAGCACAACAAGGTGACTAGTCAACAATAATTTATTTTACATTTAAAATAACCAAAAGCATAAAATTAGAACATTTGTAATACAAGAAATAATAAATGCTTGAGGTAATGGATACCCTATTTACCCTGATGTGATTATTATGTATTGTATGCATGTATCAAAATATCTCATGTATTTCATATATATATATATATACACCCACTATGTAGCCACAAAATTAAAAATTACATGAAAAAGGAACTGACTAAAGTACAGAAATATGCAGAAATATGAACTATAAATGCTTTCTTGTTTCATTGTTAATATTGGGATAATAAATATAAAAATAGAATGTTTTAATTTCCAATGTGTATGTTTTTTAAAAATACTTTTACTTGTGACAATCATCTTGAATATTATTATCGTTTAGGTCACCAATATGATAAAACCAATATGGCAGTCAATAAATATTTCAAAAATTTTATTTTTTTAATTTTAAAAACCCTTTTAATTCTCAAAAGTGTAATGATTTTGATAATAAATTAGAGTCAGCCAGATAGAATGAAATAAAAACTGGCAATGGAATTGTAGGTTAGATGGGCATAATATTGGACTAGTGGATACATTGGGTATGTTGAGTATGAAATTTCCTCACTATATCTATACAAAAATCATACATTTGCAGTATAAAAACTTAAGTTCAGAGCTCAGGAGGGAGGTAGAGGCTGGATACTGATCTAGAAGCTATCAGCTTAGAAGATGTGACCAAACTATGGGAGTATCTGAATCAAAACATGAAATGAAATGAAAAAGAAAAGTTGGCCAAGTCTGGAATTCAAGGATAACATTTCAGCCTCTAGGAAGAAAAAATAGGAGTGATTAGGGAGAACACAGTAATATGAGTAACTATGATGAAACCAGGTTAAGTCAAGTCCTCTGATATATGGACATAAAACATAAACCAAGAAATAGAGTAGTAGCACAGGGATTAGAGCCTTGCCAAACACTGAAAGATGATAACACCAGGCGCGACTTGAGGTCGAGTCCCAGCCTTGAGATAAGGAAGGTGCCAATAACTTTATTTTTAAAAGACTTGGAAATCAGAGAACCAGAGTGAGGTCTAACTTCAAGCTCTAAGGTATTAGGCAACAATTCGATTCCATCTTTTGAACAATTTTTAGAGAACAGAGCCAGATAGTGATTACTCTGTAAGGTCACTTATTCTTCCTTCTTGCAGAATCCATGTGATGATAAACGACACAAAGACATCTGGTCCAGAGAGAAAACTTGTGACCACTTACCAAAATTTCTAGTAATTGGTCCACAAAAAACAGGTAAAAGGAGCCAATTGTGCTACTTATATCCTTTTTAAAAATATTTTATGAGATATATTGTTATATGGAGTTATCAGATTAGATTTTTCTTTGTGAAATATTTAGCTATCCATGCAAGTTTACTATTCGAACTGCTTTTCATCTCCATGAATCGCATTTATACCGTGAACCTCAAGAGGATCTTAATGTTGCCCACTAATTAGTCTTAAACACTAAATTCTTTATGAATTTTTAAACTGTTCAATATACATGTCAAATTTGGAAAACTTTGAACTTATGTGTCACAGTTGTTGTACTTCATCTTTAAATTTTTACTTTTCTGGCTTTATTTAATTAATTTCTATAGCAATTTATAAAAACATGTTTTGGCTTGATTCAAACTATTTTATCTGGTACATCAGCCTTTGAATTGATTTTTGTTCAGAGCCACTGCCATGATTACTTTCAAATATTTTACATGTGTGATTTTTTTTAAAAAATAATCATTAGGTATTAGCATGGTATGGACTTACTTTCTGAAACACTTGAAGTTCATCAAGTATTTTTTCCTTGGTATTTTCTCATGCACTGAAGGACAACTGCATAAGAATGCAGTAAAAGAGAATGAAAGTATTTCACCAACGAGATGACACTTTCAATTAGAATATTTTATACTTTCTTCAGTATGTGACAGTTTTATACACTTTGCTCATGTCCTGATTAATTAAAGTTTTTATTGAGTTGCTGTATTTTGAATTCACCACTTTGACTAGAAGAAGCATTTTCATCAGTGAGTGCACAAACCATAACAGAAAACAAACAGTCTCAATAAATAAGCCTGGCCCAGATGAAGATATTTGTAATACAAGTAAGTAGACCATTTTAAAAGTTGTGGGCAAAATTTCCAGACTATTAAATATTGGTTGTTGAAATCTTTTCTTCTTCTAGGAATATAAATTGTATTACAACAGTAAGTTAACACATGTGCAGGGAGGGGAAAGAGCAACATATATTTTCAGATAGATCACTTTTGTTGTTGCTTAAAATGTACATTAATTTTCTACCAACTCCCTTACAGCATTGCTAACTCTGGAGTGACTACTAAAGATATAAAACAACCCTGTGTTGTAAAATTGTGTTAAAAATCTAATAGAAAGACATATCCCTTATCATTCGTCATTGATGTTATTATATTTTAGTTCTGTGAGAAAATTACAGCTTAGTAACTATAAATCTATTTTTCCTTCTTGTTGTTTGCATTCATAAAGACATTAAACTATACCTTTAGATTTTCATATTTGACCTACCAGTATGGAAATGATAAAGCTTTTAACTGGTTTTGGCTTTCCTAAGACAAACAAACAAATCAGATGTTAAAACAAAGGAATCAGATGGTAATAATCTTTCATAGGCTATGAAAATATTATTCTAATATAAAAATGGTTGTAGTATTCTTAAAATCCAATTGTAGAAGTCTGAAGTCATAGTTTGTTGTTCTTATTGCTTCAGTTGGCAAAACACCCAGTGCAGTCAGAGACTATAAATTCACTGCAGCGGAGGGTTCACAATTAAATGCTGTCAATCTGCCCTTAGATGCACAGTTGTCTTTCGATGACTTAAACGTGGCACATGCGTCTCTTACAATAAGCATGAGGTATAAAAGTGGTTCCCAAATTGCTATTTACTCAGTTGTTATGAGGTGAGAATGGAAAGACGTGATATTTCACTTTGCCATTGCTGAATCCTAGAAGAGATAGATTCCTGTGGGCTGAAATTGGGTCAGGGAATGAGGAAATGGAGAAGAGAAACAGGCAGAGATGATAGACATAGACTCAGAGACTTTAGACTTAAGAGACTCAAAGTTCAAATCATAGTCCCTTGTGAGCCCTTGAACAGATATTCATCCTTCATCATTCAGAGTCAAATTCTGGTATTGTCAATGCAGAAGAGGATTCTAATAGGGTTACATTTAGCACAACAATTATAAGAGCATAATTCATTGGCCTTGGATCTTTCAGAAGATCAATGTTCACATTGTCAATATTAATGTCTCATGATTTGTCTGGCTTATCTCGGTACATCAGAAATAAGGAGTTGATTGTATACAAAATAGAATAGTTTCTATTAGTATAGGATTTTTTTCTCTTCTTCCGTGAAATATTTATATTAAAGAAATTGATATAAAATGAAATGAGGTAAAATAAATTGATAAAAAATGAATGTCAAGGATAGATGAAAATTTAGGTGATAAGTTTTTAAATGTACTTTTTGAGGTAGTGGGCCCAGATTTTATGACTGATTATATGAATATCAAGCCACATTTTTTCTATTTCTATTTGAGAGTGCTTTCTCTCTCCTCCTTATCAGATGCCTCTTGATGTCCCTCAACATCCTGGAGGCATGAAGGTATAGAGTTCAGAACATAAAGGCTTTGACTTTCTGTAGGCCAGGGGAGATCTGGGTACAATTCTGTGACCGTCAGGGTAATTAAACATTTCTACTTACTACCGAGTGAGGCTATAAAGTATCTATATTTAGATAATCAACAACAACTAAAGAATATTTTTTATATGTGCCCTGCATTCATCTACATTTAATACCTTCAGAATATTAAACTATCAGTTTTCTCATTTGTCTTGTGTGTCTCAAATCTCTCTTTCTCTCCACGGCCCCCCCCCATGAAAGTGTTATCTTAAAAAGTACTTAAAAAGAACACTTCTGGATTTCATGTTTCCTTCCAGCTTCTACTCTATTGCTAATTCATTTCCCTAGAACATTTTTTGGTTTTGCTCTTCTCATATTTTCTCCTTTTTAAACTCCTGTTATATTTAGGAGTAAACCAGATGAGCTTTTGAGGATGCCCCTCGTCCCTCATAACTATTAAATCTGTATTTTTCAGTGTGGTTGAGAGATTTCTCCTGTCTAAACTTTAGGATTCTAATTTAGTTCTTAACCAGTTCTGTCTCCTTCATTCTTTTAATCGAGTTTGTATAATTCAATTTCATACTTGTTATTCCTTAAAAGTCTTTTAAAATTGGTAATTACATCTCCCTAGGGCATTTATTAATTTTGCCATCTTATTTCACAGAGTCATTCATTATAGGTGTTTTAACATGTCTTCCATCAAGGTGGTTGGTCCCCATGGATCTGTTGTTACATTCTTTCCTTTAGCTACTCATTAATTCTTAGTGGCCATGTAAAGCTGTGAGGATCTAAAAGGGCGACAATGTCATTAATACTCAAAGCGCAGTAGCCTTTGCTAATATGAGCTTAAGGTATATGTGAACAAAATGCCAATTACCTGCTGGCCTTCTCTACTTCCAGATTCCAGTTGCAATGATAGTTGTTCTGCCAGCCCACCTATGTAGCTTGTCTGCAGCTCTGCAGATATCTAACATCTAACATAAGGGCTAGGACATCTAACAAATGCTGCTCACTCCAATGTATCACAGAACACTTTACCTTTTCAAGAAGAAAAGTCTTGATTTATGAGAGTTATGATGACCCAGTCACTTCATGAGTTCTTTCTGCTATAACCGCCAGTCTCTGGCCTGGCTCTGAGGGAAATAAGGTTCAGAGATTACATTTGAGACTTCTGCAGTGTGCACACAGGTGGTTTCTATCAGCTAGTCTGTTCCATCTAGTGCTCCAATTATCAGACTTGATTGTCATATTTTCCAGAGAAGTCATTGAAGCAGCCATCTTTTGAGAGTCTTGCCTTCTTCTTTCAACCTTACTGTGTAACACTTATGTTTTAAGGAACAGTATTACAGTACATTTCCTCCCAGAATCTGTCACTGATTTCCCAAGTCTAAATCACCCATTTTCTCATATATTGGAAATATACTCTGGTCTTCTCTCATTATGGCACCTGTCACACTACATCACAATTACTTGTGTACTTGTCCAAGTCCACACATGGACTTTAAGTTCATTGAGGGTAGCAAATGTGTTTTCTTAATCAAGAGTTACTTCCAGATCATACACAGAGTAGCATGTCAACTTCTGTTGAATAGTTTGATTTCATTCATCTGAATTTCAATGCTAATTGAAGACCCACCAGTTAAGGTACTGTGCTTAACGATAAAGTTGGAGACAGAGGGATCCATGCCCTTCATGCTTTAGCCACTCACCTGACTCCAGGAGGAAAGTTGAGCTGCATGACTTCCACAGTGCCACACTACTGCATTATCATTCTGCTTCACTATGGCCATGTGTTAATATTAAATCAGGCATTTTGATAAACAGAATCATGTCAGACTAATAATAGAACACTTAGATTGTGACTGCATGGAATGCACCTAATAGATTTTAAGGAAATCATTTTGACACCGGAAATAGTTGATTATTTTAATATTCCTTTTTGAGCAAAAATATGCTAAAATAATATTTTGTCTCTTATTGCCATATAACTTTTTACCTTCTTTTTTTTTTTTTTTGTAATAGGAACAACTGCACTTTATTTATTTCTTCTAATGCATCCTTCAATCATCAGCAATCTCCCTAGTCCAAAGACATTTGAGGAAGTTCAGTTCTTTAATGGCAACAACTATCACAAGGGATTAGACTGGTAAGAAAAGTAACGAAAAATAAATTCCATTATTAACACATGCTCAATCATTGCAGAGCAATTACAGATGTATGTGTGGCATCTGCATAATTACAGGATAAATTTGTTATGCTCAATTCTACCACAGTGAATTAGAAATTAATTTATAATGATGATATGTTTAATCAGTGTTGCCTATAATGTGATTTGGACAGTGCAATAATGATAATATTTTTCTGCTAAATTAATATGATTGAATAAAGAACATTATGGGATATATTTCATCAGAATTATTCATAAGGGTATTTAAAATTCTTTTTAAGCATAGCATTATTTAACTGTGCCTAATTTTTTTTCTGAACACATAATTTGTTTTCACAACAATGTTTGAGGCAACAAATAAATCAGTAGTTTGTTTTATTTTATAATTCGTGACATGTATCTTCATTAACCACATAAACCTATAAGTTTTGTTATAATATAGACTGATACTTGTCATGAAAATAATAACAGCACAGTTTCAAAACCATATCAATTCTAGTCACACACGTACATAAAATAAATATTAAGTAACATGTGGTAAATTATGAAAAAAACAAAATCACAGTATTTCCCCTAAAATAAAATAGAATAAACCTGATATTGGAAATGATTTTCACTCTGGTGATTTTTTCTAGCTCTATCCCAATTTTTCAAGAAAACGTGGTCCTGAATTTAATTTCTAGTTCACAGGTAAATAAAGCAAATCTCACCTGAGGAAAATTCCCCTCAATGCACACATCTGCAGCATGTAAGTTTGTGTGTCATCATCATGCATGAACTTGTTTGCAATGAAAGACACATTTTTTTAAGGTACAGCTAGGATCAGGGTTGGGCAGGTGCAATACCGGTGAGCAGATCAAGTTTGCCATTGTGGTTAGAGATGTGTCAGCTCTGCATCTAGGAGATTATATCCTACCTTACTTTAAAAAGACTAAATAACCTTTGGAATTGCATGCAGGTTATTAAAAGCAGAACGGCAATTTTCTCTGATCTGTGAGCCCAAATGGAACACAAATTGTTTAGCAGGAATATAGATGAGACTCTTCACCACTCCGCATTTGGGAAACATAATAACAAATGTCAAAGAGGGAAATAAGTGTCTTATATGAATTCTTAATTGCTCTCATTATTTATTTCTAGAACATTTGAGGGTGAGAGAAGTGATGAGCTGTAAGGAGGGTTACACACATAATTAAAGACTTGTACTGAATTAACCTCAGAACATATTGATTCCATAATCCGCACGCAGAGGAGCATTCTGACAGCATATGGAGGAGGGAACCTACTGAGGCACCACAGGATCAACTGGCAGGAAATAGCCCCTTAATTACTCTAGATAGACTATACTGTGTTCACATTGCTACATATACTACAAATTATGAAGAAATTCAGAAGGAAGAGAACCGCCATGCCCTAAAATGGTTGGTATTTTATAGCTATTCAGACTTACACATCTTTCTGTCTTGTGAACTTTAATCTCACTGAAGAATTTCTGCATTCAAATTTGCAAACATAAATTTACTATTTTTTAATATCAACTAAACAGTATAGTGTAATTTGCTGTTTGCCACGGGCAAATGGTATTTCTTGAATTGGCTTTTTATAGCACGGAACATCAGCCCAAATGTATAGTACTTTTCCTTTGACCCTTATTGGCCTACGTATTTCACCTCACTCCTCCCCACGCCCAAAATGGGTCGTTAGAACAGGAATATTTTGGGTTGTCTTCACATTCAATGTGTATATAATGTTTATTATTTAAACTGTAACAGCATAATAATCAGAAATAGCTATAAATGAATGTTAAAATGTTCCAATTATTTCACATTCAGAGTATGGCAAGAAAAATTATTTTCAGATTAATTAGTTGTCTTTCTCTGCCTTCAGGTATATGGACTTTTTCCCTACACCATCCAATACTACAAGTGACTTTCTGTTTGAAAAGAGTGCTAATTACTTCCATTCGGAGGAAGCTCCCAAACGAGCTGCATCTCTTGTCCCCAAAGCCAAGATCATCGCCATCCTTATTGACCCCTCAGACAGGGCATACTCTTGGTACCAGGTATGGTCAGTAAAAAAATCTGCTAAAAGCATTTTGTTATAGCTTAAATGGAGGCAGTGACAAATAACCAGAATAGAACCCAAACATATGAAAAGTCAAGTATAAGAATTTCTGAACCCCAACCCCCCACCAAAAAAATATGAGAAATAAGGACTTTCAGGCATAAAATAATTATTTAAAAATCACACATCATCAAAGAATTAATAGATTTCCTAAGCTATAGAAACATGTAGAATGTTGATTTATCAAAAGTTAACAAATTTAAAAGTCAGTATCTAGAGTAACAAATAAAAGGTAAATGGCATAGTGCCTTTATTTTGTAAAAGTTTCCTCCAAGTTAATAAATAAATAAAATATCACAGTAGAAAAATGAGCAAAATGAACAAAAGGCACAGCTAAACAATCACACATACACAAAAAACTGTCCAACAATTTATGTGAAAAATAATCAACCCAATTGGAGACCAGGTCTCACTCTATTACCCAGGCTGGCGTGCACTGGCATGATCATAGCTCACTGCAGCCTCTACCTCCTGGACTGAAGTGATCCTCCTGCTTCAGCCTCCCAAGTAACTGAGACTACAGGCACACACCACCACACCTGCCTATTTGTTTTGTTTTTTTTTTAGAGATGGGGTTTCACCATGTTGCCCAGGCTGGTCTTGAACTCCCGGGCTGAAGCAATCCACCAACCTCAGCCTCCCAAAATATTGGAACTACAGGCATGAGCCACCAAGTCCAGCCCATTCTTTTTTAATATCTTGACAACAATTGTGATGTTTTTCTATGCTGGCAAGAGAGTGATTACAAAGGTTCTCAAGTGTTCCAATAGAAGGTACACTTGGGATATTTTCTGAAAATTCATTTGGTAGTAGTTCCATAAAAGGGTATAAAGATCTTTCGGTGATGTGATTCCCCTTCTGTAATAGATCATAAGGGAAACTTCAAAAGGATGGACAAATATTTAGGAACATTGCAGTACTATCTACAAAAATAATAACAAGAGGAAAGTGTCCATCAATATAGATTTGTGTCATACTAAAGTGGAATATTCTGCAGTAACATTTAACTACGGTTTTAATTAACAAAATAGTAATTAAAAGTTGTTTGTCTAATGTGTAGATATTAAGTAATCCTGATGATATGTAATTAAACATTATCTAAATACTGTGAGGAAGTATGTAGAGGTGCTCTGAAAGCATGGTGTAAGAAAATAAACTTAAGACCTAAAACTGAAGGACAAGTACATATTCCCTGAGTGAGAATAGAAGGAAGGTGGAGTAGAGGATATAGTATATGTTAAATACATTGGATATAAAGAATCATGGCACATTTAAAAAGCTAAAAGAATTTCATGTGGCTTGTGGGAAAATCCTAGGTAGAGACCTATAGGACTCAAAGCTGAGAGGCAAACTAGGGCTAGAACCATTTGGCTGCTGCCATTTGGTGAGCAACTGAAAGCCTTTGAAAAACGGTAGCCAATGTGTGACTACCATATTTTCTCTTACAATACATAGAATTATCTGCTATTTGAAGAAACTGGAATAGGACAAATGACTCTTTGGAAAAATCACACTTGAGGCTATTGCAATAGACCTACTGAGATATGGAAGTGGTGTAGACAAAAATGTTAAGTAGAAGCTGAATGAAGAATAAGTATTCAGAGATATTTAAACATTAAAACCAAGAGAATTTGGTGAGAACATAGTGTCAGGGATGAAAGAAATTTCCAATCTGGGCACCTAGATGATGGCCACACATTCCCATGAAAAAAGAATCATTGCAGTATACAGGAGGGGGTGGGGTGGGGTGGGAGGTGGGGACTAAAAAAGGGTAGATTATGATCATGGTGAATGAAACCCTTCATTATCAAAAGAACAGTAAAGTCACCTGACACTCTGGAAGAGGTCTGAGATAGAGACAGATGTTTGTGAAGCAGAGGTAAGAAGCCATGGCCATGTAAATGGTGAAATCACCTAAGGAAAGAATTTAGAGATGAAAAGTGCAGAGCAGGATGAGGCGCCAAGAAAGATAAGAAAATATAGCCAAAATAGAAGAAAAAAATATTCAGGAGTGCAGTGGCACTGAATCGAAGGGAAGGGAGTACTGCTAGATGGAGGGGTGGCAACAATTCCAAAAACTGCTAAAAAATCAAACCGTTAGGCAAAGCGAAAGATGTGGAGGGAAGTGGAGCCCTTACCAAAAGAGTAAAAAAGAGCAAAGCCAGATGGATTTTGGTGAAGAAAGAAGTAATTGGGGGTGAAGAAATAGAGGCAGCACTTGCGAAAGACTCCAAAAACGTGATTTTGAAGGGGTAAAACAGGACACTGGTTTATTACATAGAAGTAGAAGTGGAATTGAGAAAACATCGTCTGTGGTAGTGGTGATTTGATAAGTCATTTCCAAAGAAAAAGAGAGGTTAAAGGCCCAGAGGAGAAAATAGGTAACTAACTCTGTGAAGATACAGGAAAGAATGGCTATAGGAAATGGCTTAGATGGTGAGACCAGTGGCAGCCCTGCCTCCATTCCAAGTTCTTAACTTTTCTTGTGTTGGGATTCTTCCAGCTGTCTGATGGTTCCTACGAGTGTTTCAAAAATATATTTTAAAAGCATGAAACTAAATATATATACAAAATAAACTGCTATGTTAATGTGAAATACTTTTTCAATCAGTAACAAACTTTTTAATTAAATCATTATATGGTAAGTTCTAATGATGAGTCTAGTACTATAATAACTTTGAAATAGTAGTGACCATAAGCAACATTTTGATATATCTAAGACACCAGTAATGGGATATAAAATAACTGATTTTTATTGGTGATAAAATCGCAACCACAGTACAATAAATACTGTGGCTGTTGTCTACATTCATTCCATTCAGTAATTACTGAAAACAAAAAGCTTTTTGTTTGTTTGTTTTTGTTTTTGTTTTTGTTTTTTAATGGAGTCTGGCTCTATCGCCCAGGCTCGAGTGCAATGACGTGATCTTGGCTCACTGCAACCTCCCCCTTCCGAGTTCACGCCATTCTCCTGTCTCAGCCTCCCAAGTAGCTGGGACTACGGCACCTGCCACCATGCCCGGCTAATTTTTTGTTTTTTTAGTAGAGATGGGTTTTCACCGTGTTTTGCCCAATCTCCTGACCTCGTGATCCGCCCGCCTCGGCCTCCTAAAGTGCTGGGATTGCAGGCATGAGCCACCGCGCCCTGCACAAAGAGTATTTTTGTCGTTTTTCTTTTTTTTCTTTTGCTGATCCAAATCCATAGACACACTGTATTCTATCAACAGGCCTATGTTTAAGAATCCCTGGGTTGAAACTTAAGGGGTAGAAGAGGGGAAGAATGTAGACACTGGTAAATCCAAAGGCCTGAGATAGAAAAATTGAAGTGACTATGATGGCCTCTCCTTCCTTTGATAAGCCTGGAATGAGTTAATCTGATGAAAAGACGGTGATAGTTTCAGGACATAGCAGTTTGAGAAGAGGAGAAAAAAGACGATATGAAATCATCATACAGTGGTGGGATAAAGCTGATAACAGAAATGTGAATTTGCCTACAGCAATGATGGCCTAATACAAGTTGGTAATCTTGAAGTTATGATGGTGACACTGTATTATATACCAAAATCCCAACGTTGTGAGTGCATTTTGTGTATGCACAAATTGAGTGCATATACAAATTAATATCAAAGTAAAGGATACTAAAAGGGAATTTTTGAAGGGTGTAGTAGGATAACAAGTAATTTCATTTTTTTTCCTTCTTTTTCTTGATTTTTCAAAATTTATTTAATAAAAAATGTATTACTGAAAACAAATACTGATGTATAGAAAAATGTGACATTGCAAACTGGAAGGCAAGTAGTTGGGATCTAAAACTTAGATTGGAAGCAAAATTTATAAACTACCATCAGAATTTATCTAATCCATGAGTCAGTATTTCCCACAAGGTACAAGAATTATGTCTTTCTCACTTTGTGAACACTCATTGCAAAGCAAGATAAACTTATTTTTTCAGTAGACCAAAAGCATTAAAATGTGAAGTCTTAAAGTTTTGAATTTAAGCAACTGAGGAAAACGTCGAACAGTTCACTAGCATGGTCACCACTTAGAGCAGATTTAAGTGAATCTTTTTTTTCACATAGATTAAACCAGTTCAATAAAAGCGAATCTTTATGATGTGTGTGCCTCTCTGAGCTTGCTTTTTCAAATAAATTCTTTGAACATACATACAGGTTTGAAAGGAATTATTTTTTCTGATAATATTTTTTTATTGCTGTATTGCAGTGAGTAGGGCCCCACACTGCTCCACATTTCAAAATAATGTAGCCTATTACTTAGCTAGTCCCGTCTATTCAGTAAATACCATAAATCCAAAGCTCAGCAGGTATAATTCAGAAACTCCTACAAATGTCACCTGCCACTGTAATTTCTACCCCACATTTTTATAATGGACCTCGCAGAGGAGCTATAGTGCTATTTTTCCATAAAATATGTCCCTTTGTGACTTCATGGTCATATTTTTATGCTAATCTACTTAGCTGCAGGAAATAAAGAAAAGTTGGTGCTAAACTGGCATAAGTCAATATAGAACAGATTAAGCACAGTTTCATATTATCACTGCTTAAGGTAGACATTTTAGCATTACTGTATTAAATATGTGTGTAGTTTGTTTCTTATTCTTTATTGAAATTATGTAATTTCTACACATTTTGTTAAAATGAGTTATATAATCTATATACTCAGCATAAGGTATACACATGTAAAAATATCAATAAATATACAACAGTGAGAGGACTTCAAAAGTGTGTGCCACTTATTAATTATTCTTTAACCATTCACCATTTCCTAATCATCTTTACTTTTCTAGTTATTTTTATTTCTAACTCGCACATAAGATCCATCACTCACACATAAGGCCAGCCATTACACAGTTATAAGCAGGGACCCGTATACTTCCACCTTTACCCTACGCTAGAATTTCTTCAAATTCACTTTCAGAAGTCTCACAACACTTATTCCCACACACCTCATCTACCTTCGCTCAAACTTACCTTAGATGATGAAGTCCTCTTAGTTTTCATATGTGTTTGGTGTTTTGTTGTTGTTTTTTTTCTGATTCTCACAATCTTTCTCCTTACATTTTAGCTCAAAAGCTTCAACCATTGAAAACTCCTTTCATGCTGGAGTCAGAATTAATCACTTACTGATCTGGCTGTCACAGCAAGTAACTTCCACCTCTAATCAAATATGTCAAATATACAACTTTATTCCTATCTGTTGTCTCCCACACTAGATCTGATTTCTTTGAAGAGAGTGGTTGTGTCTTATATCTTTTTATCTCCAGGATCTATCTCAGATCTTTGTTCTGGAAAGAAGCTTAAATAATGCTTGTTAAATTGTATTGACTGTTAAATTTATCTCTCACTGAGCTGGGCTGTCTCCTGTTTGACCAATGATAGTTTGATGTGACTCAGGATTTGATACTGAAAAGTAGAAGTGAAGCAGTATTCGTAAATTAGCAGGTTTAGGTAGAAACCCATGTGAGAGCAAACAGAAAGGACCTTGGGTGACATCAATATGAATATGACACCTAAACAAGCATGAGAAATGGACAGCAGCTTTCTCTGTACCCATAGCACCTGCTACACAGGGGTATTGGGAAAATGTGAGAATCTGAAGGAAGGGCTGTAATGAAATGATGGCCCAAGAAACATGGATGACTACTCTTAAAAAGACTGTTCTTGCAAAATCTAATTTTTTCATCAGGCTTGATTTGTCTGGTCTCTGACATCTTCTCATTCTTAATAATATCCATGAAGAAAATCCTCACATCCTATCTCTGCCTTGCACCTAACCACTTTAGACATATAACTACAAGTTTATGTGCATACCACTTGATAGATAGTGAAGGCTTATACTTTAACTTACTTTAAAATAAGCAGTATGCCAATGGGTGTTCCAGTGTATGCAGTTGTCTTTCTATTTCATTTCGTTCATTTTTTTATTCTAAAATTAAGTATTTAATTTATTTTTTGTGACGTAAAGGACACACACACACTTATACAAACACACCAAGCACACACATGCATGTGCTCACCTATACACATATGCATATCTACACAGGCATGGAAAAAACTAACTTTACAATTGACTTTCTTGTTAAAGCACCAACGATCACATGAAGATCCAGCTGCTCTGAGGTTCAATTTCTATGAAGTTATTTCAGCAGGACATTGGGCTCCATCTGACTTAAAAACTTTGCAGAGAAGATGCCTAGTACCTGGATGGTATGCAGTCCACATAGAAAGATGGCTAACTTACTTTGCTACTTCTCAGGTAATGTCCTGAAATTACTTTCTTCTGTTTATTTTATTATAATGTCCTGAAATTTTATATTTTATCATAATGTCCTGAAATTACTTTCTTGTGCTTATCATGATTGTGTTGCACTGACAAGCAGAAAATGTGAATGAACATTGCCACAGACGGTGATTTATAATCAGAGACAATTATAAGTAAGGAAGAAGTGTGCATTTTACATTTTTAATTTTATTAATACTATTAACATGATAAATATCTCTAAAACACATTCTTGCAATCTTCTTTTGAATAGTAGCTAGTCTCAGAGTGATAAGTTCTCCACAGGAGACATCATGTGATTTACAGGCAACAACTCTCAACTACCAGTACAACAGCCAGTTAGACAACAACTTTATGAAACACCACATGCAGATAACTACATGATGTTTGTTCTGTATGACCCTTATAAGGAAAGAAGGTCATTCACTAGGCTGCCAAATGGGGGGTGTTATAATGGCTACAGGAACATGAGATAGACCAAGAAATAAGGATTTGAAAAAAGGCATCCATATTTTTTTTTTGGATTGATCTTTAAAAAAAAAACTTTTAAGTTCTGGGGTAGGTGTGCAGAATATGCAGGTTTGTTACATAAGTATACATGTGCCATGGTGGTTCGCTGCACCCATCAATCCGTCATCTACATTAGATGTTTCTCCTAATGCTATCCCTCGCCTTGCCCCACACCCCTGACAGGACACAGTGTATGATGTTCCCCTCGCTGTGCCTATATTTCTCATTGTTCAATTCCCACTTATAAGTGAGAACATGTGGTATTTGGTTTTCTGTTCCAGTGTTAGTTTGCTGACAATGATGGTTTCCAGCTTCATCCATGTCCCTGCAAAGGACATGAACTCATCCTTTATTATGTCTGCATAGTATTCTATGGTATATATGTGCCATATTTTCTTTATCCAGTCTAAAATTGGTGGGCATGGGGCTGGTTCCAAGTCTTGTCTATTGTGAATAGTGCTGCAATGAACATACATGTGCATGTGACTTTATATTAGAATGATTTATAATCTTTTAGGTATATACCCAGTAATGGGATTTCTGGGTCAAGTGCTAGCTCTGGCTCTAAATCCTTGAGGAATTGCCATACTGTCTTCCACAATGGTTGAACTAACTTATGCTCCACCAACAATGTAAAAGCGTTCCTATTTCTCCACATTCTCTCCAGCGTCTGTTATTTCCTGACTTTTTAATGATCACCATTCTAACTGGCATTAGATGGTATCTCATTGTGGTTTTGATTTGCATTTCTCTAATAAATAGTGATGATAAGCTTTTTTCCATGTTTGTTGATCGCATAAATGTCTTCTTTTGAGAAGTGTCTGTTCATATCCTTTGCCACTTCTTGATGAGATTGTGTTTTTCTTGTAAATTTGTTTAAGTTCCTTGTGGATTCTGGATATTAGCCCTTTGTCAGATGGATAGACTGCAAAAATTTTCTCCCATTCTGTAGGTTGCCTGTTCACTCTGATGATAGTTTCTTTTGCTGCGCAGAAGCTCTTTAGTTTAATTAGATCCCATTTGTTAATTTTGGCTTTTGTTGCCGTTGCTTTGGGTGTTTTAGTCATGAAGTCTTTGCCCATTCCTATGTCCTGAGTGGTATTGCCTAGGTTTTCTTCTAGGATTTTCATGGTTTTAGGTCTTACACATAAATCTTTAATCCATCTTGAGTTAATTTTTGTAGAAAGTGTAAGGAAGGGGTCCAGTTTCAATTTTTTGCATATGGCTAGCCAGTTTCCCCAACACCATTTATTAAATAGGGAATCCTTTCCTCATTGCTTGTTTTTGTCAGGTTTGTCAAAGATCAGATGGTTGTAGATGTGTGGTGTTATTTCTGAGGCCTCTGTTCTGTTTCATTGGTCCGTATATCTGTTTTGGTACCAGTACCATGTTTGTTTGGTTACTGTAGCCTTGTAGTATAGTTTGAAGTCAGGTAGCATGATGCCTTCAGCTTTGTTCTTTTTGCTTAGGATTGTCTTGGCTATACGGGCTCTTTTTTGGTTCCATATGAAACATCAACATCAACATAAAGTACTCCTACACAAAACCCCATCCAAAGGTTGTCAGCCCCAAAGATCAAAGGTAGATAAATTCATGAAGATGAGGAAAAACCAGTAAAAAATGATGAAAATTTCAAAAAACAGAGTGCCTCTTCTCCTCCAAATGATTGCAGCTCCTCTCCAGCAAGGGCACAAAACTGGACACAGAATGAGATTGATGAATTGACAGAAATAGGCTTCAGAAGGTGGGTAATAACAAACTCCTATCAGCTAAAGGAACATGTTGTAACCCAATGCAAGGAAGTTAAGAACTTGATAAATATTACAGGAACTGCTAACTAGAATAACCAGTTTGGAGAGGAACCTAAATGGCCTAATCGAGCTGAAAAAATGCAGCATGAGAACTTTGTGAAGCATACACAAGTATCAATAGCTGAATCAATCAAGCAGAATAAAAGCTATCAGAGATTGAAGATCAACTTACGGAAATAAGGTGTGAGGACAAGATTAGAGAACAAAGAATAAAAAGGAATGAACGAAGCCCCCAAGAAATGTGGGACTATGTGAAAAGACCAAATCTACAACTGATTGGTGTACTTGAATGTGACAGGAAGAATGGAACCAAGTTGGAAAACACAATTCAGGATATTATCCAAGAGAACTTCCCCTACCTAGCAAGACAGGCCAACATTCAAATTCAGGAAATACAGAGATCATCACTAAGATACTCCATGAGAAGACCAACCTTAAGACACATAGTCGTCAGATTCTCCAAGGTTGAAATGAAGAAAAAAATGTTAAGGGCATCCAGAGAGAAAGGTCAGGTTACCTACAAAGGGAAGCCCATCAGACTAACAGCAGATCTCTGCAGAAACCCTATAAGCCAGAAGAGAGTGGGGACCAATATTCAACATCCTTAAAGAAAAGAATTTTCAAACAGAAAAAATAATTTCATATTCAGCCACACTAAGTTTCATAAGCAAAAGAGAAATAAAATTATTTAATGAGAAGCAAATACTGAGGGATTTTGTCATCACCAGGCCTGCCTTACAAGAGCTCCTGATGGAAGCACTCAATATGGAAAGGAAAAACCTGCACCAGCCCTGCAAAAACACATCAAAATATAAAGACCAATGACACTATGAAGAAACTGTATTAACTAATGTACAAAATAACCAGCTAGCATCATGATAACGGATTCAAATTCACACATAACAATATTAACCTTAAATGTAAATGGGCTAAATGCCCCAATTCAAAGACACAGATTGACAAATTGGATAAATAGTCAAGGCTCATTGGTGTGCTGTATTCAGGAGACCCATCTCACATGCAAAGACACACATAGGGTTAAAATAAAATAATGGAGGAATATTTACAAAATAAATGGAAAGCCAAAAAAAGAAAAAGAAAAATGCAGAGGTTGCAATCCTAGTCTCTGATAAAACAGACTTTAAACCATCAAAGATCCAAAAAGACAAAGAAGGACATTACATAATGGTAAAGGGTCCTAAATATATATGCACCAAATACAGGTGCACCCAGATTCATATAACAAGTTCTTAGAGACCTACAGGACATTCAGACTCCCACAAAATAATGGTGGTTGACTTTAACACTGCACCGTCAATATTAGACAGAACAATGAGACAGAAAATTAACAAGGATATCCAGGAATTGAACTCAGCTCTGGATTAAGTGGACCTAATAGACATCTACAGAACTCTCCACTCCAAATCAACAGAATATACATTCTTCTCTGCACCATATAGCATGTATTCTAAAATTGACGACATAATTGGAAGTAAAACTCTCCTCAGCAAGTGCGAAAGAATGGAAATCATAACAAACAGTCTCTCAGACTACAGTGCAATCAAATTACAACTCAAGATTAAGAAACTCACTCAAAACCGCACAACTATGTGGAAACTGAACAACCTACTCCTGGATGACTACTGGATAAATAACAAAATTAAGGCAGAAACAAAGAAATTCTTTGAAACAAATGAGAATAAAGAGACAACATACCAGAATCACTGGTACACAGGTAAAGCAGTGTTAAGAGGGAAATTTATACCACTAAATGACAACAACAGAAAGCTGGAAAGATCTAAAATCAACACTCTAACATCATAGTTAAAAGAACTAAAGAAGCAAGAGCAAACAAATTCAAAAGCTAGCAGAAGACAAGAAATAAGTAAAATTAGAAAATTAGAGCAGAACTGAAGGAGGTAGAGACACGAAAAACCCTTCAAAAAATCCATGAATCCAAGAGCTGGTTTTTTGAAAAGATTAAGAAAATATATGGACCACTAGCTAGACTAATGAAGAAGAAAAGAGAGAAGAATCAAATAGACACAATAAAAAATGATAAAGGGGATATTACCATTGATCCCACAGAAATACAACTATCATCAGAGAATACTATAAATGCCTCTGTGCAAATAAACTAGAAAATCTAGAAGAAATGGATAAATTCCTGGACACATACACCTTCCCAAGACTAAACCAGGAAGAAGTCAAATCCCTGAGTAGACCAATAACAAGTTCTAAAATTGAGGCAGTAATTAATAGCCTACCACCAAAAATACCAAAAACAAAAAAACAAAAGACAGGATCAGACTGCTTCACAGCTGAATTCTACCAGAGGTACAAGGAGGGACTCCTCCCTAACTCATTTTATAAGGCCAGCATCATCCTGATATCAAAACCTGGCAGAGACATAATGAAAAAAGCATAATTTTACATTCTGTCTTCCAGCTCAGGGTAAGTTGAAATGCTAGTAGCTGGGCCTTACCATTGACCTTTTTCCAGTATTCTTTTTTCTTGGAGACGGAGTCTCGCTCCATCACCCAGGCTGGAGTGCAGTGGCACGATCTTGGCTCACTGCAACCTTGGCCTCCTGGGTTCAAGCAATTCTCCAGTCTCAGCCTCCCAAGTAGCTGGGATAACAGGTGTCTGCTACCACACCTGGCTAATTTTTGTATTTTTAATGGAGATGGGGTTTCACCTTGTTGGTCAGGCTGGTCTCGAACTCCTGACCTCAAGTGATCCACTCTCCTGGGCCTCCCAAAGTGCTGGGATTACCAGTGTGAGCCACTGTGCCTGGTCTTTTCCAATATTCCTTTGACAATTATGATATTCTAGGGCAGTGATCCAATGATCAGTAAGGCAGGGACCAACATTTCCCTCCTCCCTCTGTCTTGTTTTTTTAAGATTAGATGAGTGATTTTCATTTGGATGACCACTATTTCTGAGCCCTAAGCTCCAGGGTTACTAATAGGAAATTGGTAGGCTGGATGATTATCTGATCACACAACAAATGGAAAATTATGTTTCTACTGAAGTACTAAATCAAGAAAGTGTCTATGTTTACTTCTGATTTACAAAAAGCAAGTTAAGGGCTATAACTTGATAATTCACAAGAAATGATGCCTATGGCAAACTTTATTGTTTATGTGGAAAGATGGAAGAATAATAAACATTCAAATGTATTCTAAGTAGGGCATATTTGCTTCCCATCCACACTGATCTAATTTATGAATGCCACACCAGGTAAAGGAAGGCATCACAGTCTATTCAATTTAATTTTGTTCTTCAGAAAGTGATTATTTCTGACTTTACAGTTGCTAATTATTGATGGACAGCAGCTGAGATCTGACCCAGCTACTGTGATGGATGAAGTCCAGAAGTTTCTGGGAGTTACACCTCATTATAATTACTCTGAAGCACTAACGTGAGTCTATTGTCATGCTTGATTTCATTTCTATTATTTGCCATCATAAATTATCACTGGTAGGTGTGTATATAACATCATTAATACTAGCTGGAATTTATACATCCTATGCTACCTACAAGCAATCAAAGGAATCTCCTCATCAATCATGCAGTGTTTCTCTTTTATTTATTTATTTATTTTTAAATTTTTTTTTTTTTTTTTTTTTTGAGACGGAGTCTCGCTCTGTCACCCAGGCTGGAGTGCGGTGGAGTGATCTTGGCTCACTGCAAACTCCGCCTCCCGGGTTCACGCCATTCTCCTGCCTCAGCCTCCCGAGTAACTGGGACTACAGGCGGGCGCCACCATGCCCGGCTAATTTTTTGTATTTTTAGTAGAGATGGAGTTTCACCATGTTAGCCAGGATGGTCTTGATCTCCTGACCTCGTGATCCACCCACCTTGGCCTCCCAAAGTGCTGGGATTACAGGCGTGAGCCACCACACCCGGCCATGTAGTGTTTCTCTTTTAAATACCAGAAATACTTTATTTTATAAAGTATATTTTATATTATTGTAAATTCTTCTTTTTGTGAGTTTTCCCTGCACCAGTTTGATTAAGTAAATTTTTTACTTGCCTACCTGTGCAGACAGTGTCCTAGAAATTTAGGTTACAAAGGTGAAAATGATATTGTCTCCTTTTTCACATAATTTACAGTTTAGAAATGAAATGCAATATTTAGGGCAGAATTGGGAAATGAGTATATTCGTGTTTTATTCTGTATTTATTGAATTATTTATAACCAAATATAATCATGTATACTGTTCCAGCTATTTATTGTTGCATGACAAACCATCCCAAAGCCTAGTGGCTTATAATGACCATTATTTTATTATGCTCATGGAATCTGTGGGTAGGAATTAGACAGGCTACAGAAGGATGGCTTGTCTTTGCTCATGATGTTTAGAGCCACAGCCTGGAAGACTTGAATAGCTGACTTTGACTCAGATGACTGGGACCTGAAATCATCTGGAGTCTCCTTCACTCACATCTCTGAATCCTGGACTGGCATGGCTCAAAGGCTGAGATCAGTGGGTTGGTGACTGTCCATGAGGCCTCCTGGATGACTTGGCTTCCTCACACTGTGGTGGCTGTGTTCCAAGAGGGAGCAATAAGTCAAGGGAGCATGTGGTCCAAGACAGCCAAGTCCTTCTCTAACCTAGACCTGCAAGTCACACAGTTTAACTTAGGCTATATTCTACTTGTTATAATAGTCAGTAAAGCCAGTCTAAATCCAAGGGGAGAAAAACAAGACAGCACCTCTTGATGGGGTGGGGCAACATCACCAGTGGGAAAGAATGTGGGATGGGAGATATGATTGCTATCATCTTGGGAAAATAAAACCATATATGTTTATAATTAAAAATGGGGAGAAATGTAAAAGAAGAAAAATGACAAACAAAAACAAGCAGCCAAAAGACACCTTAAAAGAGATTATACTTTACTCATAAAAGCCTCTCCCACAAAGTCTGATACACAACCTGTTAAATTTTAGATAAAATTCTAACAAGCGCAATTGTATAATTTCCCATTTCACAGCAGATTAGAATCAGCAATTAGACAATTAGAGAGGCTAACAGAGGAACAGGAAAAGCAGTAATAAGATTGGGTTGTTCCTTATCCACTAAAACAACCTTAATGAAGTTTTTACCTACACATGGAAATAACAACAACACAAGGCATATTCATGTTAATTAAGTAAACAAAGCTTCCTATAATATGTTTGTATTAATAGTTACTGATGTTGGCCTTTTTTCCCTGCCTCTCAGCAGTAGTTGAGGTAATGTTTCTATCCTGTTTATGACAAATAATTGCTTATGGTTCAATAAACCTGTAAAATTACACTTTTGAAGGAGAGATTACAAACAAGTACAAAATATATGGTTTTAATATGTCTCACACATCACAAAAAGTAATAACCATAGAATAAAAAAACTCAAACCACAACCAACTCATGTGCTAAAAGTTGCCTAACAGTTATATTGAGGAAGATTTTGCATGTTAATTTCACAATTTCATGCCTACTAAAGTAAAACCATAAAGCAATGAATTGATGTAACTTAGAGAGGATAAATGTCCTTTGTTAGACGTAAGGCATATGAAGTTGCCAGTGCAATAAATGAAACCAGTACAGCAAAATCATGTAGATTCAAGGTTATGACAACCCTATCTAAGAAAAAAAATGACTTTCAGTATTCTGGATGGCTCTCCTTTCTCTGATTGTATTAAGCTGTGCCTCACAACAGCTACTGTGGAAAACAAGGAGAGACCACGGCCCATCCTGAGACCACGGCCCTACCTGAGAGCAAAGGAGATGCTCTCAGCATGTGTATAAATATGTTGGCTTTGCTGCCAGGGTTGTATTTTACCTTAATGCAGTTAACTATTCTCATCCTGAGGCAGAAAACAATGTTTAGGGGCACTGTTATGCCAACTTCCTCATCTCATTTTATACAGCACGCTGAATTGTCTTTCCTCTTGGGAAATTAATGAAAACAGGAGAAAGGACTGTGATAGGCAGAGAGCAGATTGAAAAGTCCAGGTTGGAAATGACTCTGTCTTTCTTTTATCCATTTAACTAGTGATGTATTTAATTTTAATTTACAACATGTACTAGGACAACTTGGACTGCAAGGTTCAGGTCTCCAATAATAGGTTGGGCAGGGAACTGTGAAGAAAACTTCCCTCTCCCCCTAAATGAATTCACATATGTGCAGAAGCAAATTGCAGGTGCACCGGTATTATAGGAATGGGCCCAGGGCAACAAAATATTCTGCAACTAATTAACTTTACATCCCAGTCAATTATGCTTCATCCTTCTAAAACATCTGCTGAGCAACAAAAATGCAAACCTTTTCGATGTTTTATGCATGCAGCAAGTCCCGTAGTAATGAACTTAAAATTTCCCTTCTTATTTGGTTCATTCTTCCGTTTTTCCTCTCCTGTTAGTCCTAAACAAAAATTCTTATATATTTGACTTTTAAAAAAGGATTAGGCCACACATCCTTTCTTTTGTAACTCAGTGCAGCTATGGGAGCAAAACAGCATTAGTTTTCTTTAAGAATATGGGTACCTGAATTATCTAACAGAGTATCTGCGTTCAACAAGAGAAACAAGAGGTTGTCTAATCTTCCACTTTATTTTTACACTTCTAATTTGTTTTTTGAAAAGTGTAAGCATTTTGAACTATAAAAAATGCAATATTTTCTGAATTGAAAGCTTTAATTCACATTTATATTCACAGAACTATACCTACATTACATTCTACCCCTTTAATGTATACCAGTGAATGATTTCAAATAAATCTGTTAACATATCTTTGAAATCACCTCCATAAGTAAATAAAGTATCCTAAAGTTCATTTATATATGGGCTGTAATTTTAGCTATTGGTCTTTGATCTTTTATGGATTCATAGGTAAGCTAAGGAACTTGTTAAAAATTTAATGTAAAATTAAACTAAGGATCTATTTCTTTTTTTCATTAGAGTATAGTTACTTAAAATGCATCATAATATATAGCTTCTTTCATCTCAGTTTAGCCTCTCTCAAATCAGCTAAATAAATATCTGGAAAAATGAATTAAATTAAATCAATGGGCATACAAAAATACATTTCCTTTATTCAATTGGTGAGGCTGTCTCACTGAAAATTCTGCACACAATTTGTAATCATTATATGTTTTATGTATTGTAGGTTTGATCCCCAAAAGGGTTTTTGGTGTCAATTACTGGAAGGAGGAAAGACAAAATGCCTTGGAAAAAGCAAAGGCCGAAAATATCCACCTATGGATCCAGAGGTAATATTTTCTTAATCTTTGAATTACTCTAGGAAAAATATTTGCAAACAGCTATTTCAAAACTAGTAACAAGAAATTTGCTTCCTTTCTTTCTCTGCTCTTTCTTTGCAATTAATAATTGTATATACTTAGAGGATGATAGAGATCATTGATACATAGATAATAGATAGATAGATATAGATTGATAGATAGGTATTAAGGATTAATATACATTCCTAGAAATTCTTTGCTGTTTGAATGCAATTCAAACATAAATATTTACTAAAAAGTGACTCATTTCCAAATGTAAAGCACTTAGTTTGCTAAACAAGTGATTTTGGATAAAATATTAAAGCATCATTATTATATATTCAATACAGATATTCAAGGCCTACATCACAGGTGGAACTGGACTAAGCAATGGAAAGAATACAAAGACAAAGCAGTTGTGAACCCAGATTTATTACAGGATAAATAAATTAGTTATATCCACTGATTTGTAATAGGGACATAAAAATATAAAACAATGACAAACGAAACCAGAAAATGGCAGGAAAATATTTCAATAGAAGTGAGGATGTGAGAAGAAATGCCTTATCTTGTAGAACAGGCTTGGAAAACCAGTCAGCAATTGGCTCAGCCAGGTATCATACATATTTCTCTTACGGCAAGGTGGGCAAAGGGCGATGCAGATGATTCATGGGTTACTATGGAAATAGATGTACCAGAAGGTCCTTAAGCTACATTTTTGAACTCAATAATTTCAAAAGGGTTTCAGAAATCACTTTAATCTACCAAGAAATAAATATAATGTTCCCACTACTACTATAAACATCTTATCCGAAATGTGAAGTGTTTACAATCTGGTTTAAGGGAAGAAACATAATGAAATACCTGGTGAATGGTCCAAGATGAAATGTAGTTGTCTTAAATCCATTTTCACAGTATACACAAAAGTTGCTAAGGGAGTTTTATGTGGAAAAAGACCATTTGTGTTAAAATATTGAGGAGGGATTAAGAGAGATGGTGCAACTTGGACCAAACGGAAAACAATGAAGGAGCCATTGTTACATATGCCAGCAACAGAAAAAGTGTTCATCTCTAATTTTATCAAACAGATGGAACGCTGCCAGTTGGGCTATAATATGAGATAAATGACACCCGGGAACAAAGTCCAATTGCAAATGTCCTGTTTTCCAGAAATCTGTGTAGATGAAAGATAACTATAGAACTAAAACCATTCATATGTTTTATATTTTTTTAGCATTTCTCTAATAATGGCCCATCTCTGCAACATGATTAGAAACATGAGCATTGTAAAAAGGATCAGGTTTCAGAGACCTTATAATATTTTGGAAGCCTAAAGCTCTTAGTGACTAAAAAAATATATTTCAGCTCTGAGTAAATGTATAAAAATTGTGCATAATATTGCAAGTTATTGTTTGTAATAGTGAATTTTAGTTTTTATGATTATGCTCACATTTAATTTTTATATTATGAGCCAATTTTCAAAAAATGTATGTCAGTTTATCTATCTTACTTCTATAAATTTCATTCCTCATGCGGTCCTTATCTCATTTATCTCTAGTATTATACTCCTGTCATCGTTTTTTCTTTCTCTGTAGACTTCATATATCCCACAATGAATATGTGCTGTAATGACAGATAAGCCGCATAAGATACACCTGGTCCTGTTTCTATTTTGTAGCCACACATTCGCCAAATATTTTCAAAGGGTAAAAATAACTGATATTTGAGGAAAAATACAAGAAATATAATATGTTGTAGACACATATATTGTAGTAGATATATTCCTTAAGAAATATAGATTACAGGCCGGGCGCGGTGGCTCAAGCCTGTAATCCCAGCACTTTGGGAGGCCGAGACGGGCGGATCACGAGGTCAGGAGATTGAGACCATCCTGGCTAACACTGTGAAACCCCGTCTCTACTAAGAAATACAAAAAACGGCCGGGCGCGGTGGCTCACGCCTGTAATCCCAGCACTTCGGGAGGCCGAGGCGGGCGGATCACAAGGTCAGGAAATCGAGACCACGGTGAAACCCCGTCTCTACTAAAAAAAAATACAAAAAATTAGCCGGGCGCGGTTGTGGGCGCCTGTAGTCCCAGCTACTCGGGAGGCTGAGGCAGGAGAATGGCGTGAACCCGGGAGGTGGAGCTTGCAGTGAGCTGAGATCCGGCCACTGCACTCCAGCCTGGGCGACAGAGCGAGACTCCGTCTCAAAAAAAAAAAAAAAAAGAAATATAGATTACAAAATCCTGTTTGATGAAACGAAGAGCTTTTTTCAAGTTCTTTTTTTTTCTTTCCAGTCTAGAACTTTCCTCTCTAATTACTACCGAGATCATAACGTGGAACTATCCAAACTACTACACAGACTGGGACAGCCTCTGCCATCATGGCTGAGACAGGAACTGCAGAAAGTGAGATAGCACTGGAGACAAGAACCAAGCCTCTCAAGATACTTTTAGTGTTAAAAAAAAAAAAAAAAAAAAAATCCACAACCTTTATTCTTAAGCACTTGTGATTGTCAACAAAGAACTGTGTGAATAAATTTCCTTCAGCCTTTTTCATAAAATGAAAACTGTTATATATGCACGCATTGACAATTACTAGCATCAGTCCCTGTGTAAGCTTCTGGGAGATAATGTGGGGGTTTGTGGCATTATCCAGTTTCTAGTGTATAGATCATAGCACAGCCCAGTTCCTATGTTAAGCATAAGGTTTCAGATGCTCTATGTACGCCTGATAATCTGGATTATATACAAGTGACCAGTTAAAACGTTAAGGAAAAAATGAGTGAGGTATCTGTAAATGAGGTTAGTCGTAACTCAGTATTTGAAGTAAGGGCTAACATTTTCCCCTTGGGAACTTAAAAACAATTTTGCTTTTATTATGAGAAGGAATTATGTGACCCCATACTCTTATTGTGAGTAATTATTCTTTATTATATCAGCCCACATATTTTCTTTCTGCAGTGACTCCTCTCTATTAATTTCTTGACTTAGAGCTTCCCATGTGTTTTGTTTTCCTCCTGTAAGAGGAGACTGTCTGAGAGCTTCCATATTCACTGATATTATTTTATCTTCCATATTCACTGATATTATTTTATCTGGCAGCACATGCCTTTCCAATTGAATTTGTCATTATGATTCCAGCAAAATCTGTTAAAGTTTTTGGGGAAAAAGAAGAGTATGAAGCTGCATAATACCACTATTAAGTCTAAGGCCATCTCTAAGTGGGTCCAGAAACTTACCATACTAATAATCTAGATATTTCCACCTTGACAAAGATATAGTATTTATATATTTTTCACTATCTGAGGTAGAAATAAAGCTTTATTGATAAAATATGGAATGAAAACACCAAGGTGTGTTTGCATATATAGTGAGGCAGTGTGCCTTCTACATAGTATATGTCAATCTTTTTAAAGCATGAATTTTTTCATATATGCCAGTACATCTACTATTGTAGAAGATTATGTTTTTAATGACTATTAAAAAATAAGTATAATCCAAATCTTACCTCTTCAAACATCACTTATTCTCTAACCTAAACCCAATTTCTCAGCTACACCACCCAAATATTAATTTCTGGAGAAGTAATGTTCTTTCTGTCTTAGAGTTATAGGTTATTTTCTTATTTGGAGGTTATTGTAAGGCTAGTTGCATTTTTATCTCATTTGTCAATGATGGTATATTGATATTTTATTAAACTTTTCAGTAATACATGAAGGTAAAATTTCAACAGAACAGTAAATCAAACTGACTTTGGTAACATTACCCAACAACCTCTGCTTCCTCCAGAGTAATTTTTCTGTTGGCTGTAGATAATACTACTTTTTCTTGTAATTTGAGAAATTATGCTTGCAATAATATAATAGCAAATCAAAGATCTGTATTTTTCTGTATGTTGTTTGTTGTTGATTTTTAAGCAAACACATCAAATTTATGTGTCCTAATTGGGGTAGTCAGCATCCAACTTTACATTTATACTTCATTAAGATTGTTTGTTTTCCTGTTGTTTCTCAGCGAAAGGATCTTGACCCTCTTCAAAACATGTAAGGCTTTTCATGGATATGAATGTCAATCACATATACTTTTGTTGTTCCTCTCTGTTAACTGTGAGGCTCAATTCTCCACCTTATTATTGCATAAGTGAGTGTGTGCTTCACAGCATTTTATTATGCACACTAAAATCACAGTAACTGCATGTAGAGCTCTAACCTTTGATTGATTTATTCATTAGTTTCCTCCAATGTATAATTATTTCTTTTTAAAAATAGAGATTAACTTTTTTTCAAGTGGAATAAAAGTAATATTTATAGAACAAAGGGAAACTTTTTTACATCTCAAGTACAATCTATGTAACTCAAGGTTCTCCCACCCATCACCTGGCATTTAAAAGTGTAACTCATTTTATGCCATTTTCATTGTTTTCTAAATAATGTATACAATATCAGTTAGCTGTCTACAGATATCTGGGAGCAAAATTTTCCCCAAACTCAACTAGTCTTTTCAATTTGGTTACTTTAATCAGTGTGAACATATTTCTCATGAAGGTTGATAGTGAAGACAACAAAATAAATTTTAATTATATAATTTATCTTCATCTTACAATAAACTACTAGGAGGAGCTCTGGGCTGTGAGATTATAGTTAATCAGGAAAAATTTAATATTTAAGAAGATCTTGCTGTTTTTTTCCAATTTTTACCCACTGGCTATTTTAGAATTATTGACTCAAGATTTTAATACATGTAATTATTTAAAATGTTAAATAAATTTGATCTCATGGTCTTAAATAATATATGTTTTAGTAGTCATGAAATTTATTTAAGCTCTCTATAAATAAAAAAGTAATTACAATGAAGTTATAGAAATGGAGACTTTTAGTTCTTAGGCTAAATTCAGGCTGTTTGTTTAAACTTTCTTTTAATTTCTACCAATGAATATAAGGCATCACAAACTGTAGGCAAAGCAATTAAGTAGAGTAGTATATTAATCTCTCAAATAAGGTGTCAAACTAACTTTCAGTGGTATCTATTCAATAGTCAGTATAAATACAGAGACGGGGTCTTGACAAAAGCCACAATAAAAACAGCGTGGTGGGCCATAAAGCAAAAGAAGTTTCTCAATAAATATTTCTGAAAAGGGATAGATACCTCATCGCTGTGAAATAACAACACCTTAGAATCCTATATGTTCTCTTCACCACTTTAAATGACATACTTTCTTTAAAAATTCTAAAGCAAGCTAGTTTCTCTCCCTTCTTTTTTTATAATCCAGTTGCCTAATTCACAGATATAATTACTGATGACCTCACATTGATAAAGGCAAAAACAATATTTGATTATTGTCTTTATCAGAATGTGTATGCATATCAAGTAACAGTCTCCAAAAATTATATTACAAAACTGATCCCAAACCAAATTTTGTTTGTATTTAACAATGGCCCAATGAGAATTAAATAAACAACAAGAAAGAATGCTAGTGAGAAAAAATTATACTCTTTTTATCACATTTTTTCTAGAAAAATAGCTTTTAGTCCAATACAAGATTTTGTAGCTCTCGATTTTAACAAACCCATCTATTGACCCTGTGTAGTTTTTGTTGTTCTGTCTCACTATTTTAATATAATGTGACACACTTACCATGAGAACTGCTTTATTTTTAATTACAGACAACACAAAACATGTATGGGGGAAAGATATCTTAAAAGCTCAGTTTCTGGTGGCTAGAAAACATAATTGTTTTGTTTATTGAAGTACCTCAAAAATAATGCTGGCCCATTATTCCAAAAAGAAAAAGTCTTGCAAGTAGAATTTTCTTTCAACAATAAGAACACAGCTTAGCTATGGACACACACACACACACAAACACACACACACATATGTGTATAATGCAAATGTATATGCATATATATGGTGTCTGAGAAATTTCAACTAGTTTTTGATCTCCCAAATTATATTTTCTGTGTCAGCCAGTGAGGTGGGTGGGAAAAGCAGAGAAAGAACTCTGTATTTACTGAAATTGTTAAAAAAACAAACAAACAAACAAAAAAAACAGATGTAGTACATGCATAGCGTATCATTGGTTCTCACTTCCTCGGAATAAATACTACTGCTGGTATGGTCACTAGAGTCATGTTTTTTCTCCTCTGAAATCCAAGGCTTTAATCAATCGTTGATTCTTTATCTTTTCTTTTATCTTTCTTCACTGTATACATACTCCCTGAATTTTAAACCCTTAACAAGTATAACCACAAGGTTATGAGAACAGGCTTTGAATGTCTGAATTCTCACCCCAGTTCTACCTCTTACTAGCTACTAGCTGTGTGGCCTTGGACAGTTTGTGGAGCTTTTCTATGCCAGTTAGTAAAAGATAGACAATAATTATTCATTGGGTTTTTGTAGGCATTAATTGAAAATACATTTAAATAACTTAGCACAATGCTGATGCAGTTGGGTGGGAATGTGTTAACAACATGTAAAATTTGAATCATTCTCTCTTTGTTTATCAAAAAGAATATGTTTTTCCTACTCCTTTTAAAATAAAACATATAAATCTTAAACATATAATTATATATGGTCAAAATGGGAAACTGTCTTCCTCATCACTATCAAAAAATAAATTTTGTACTTCTCCTTGCTGTTTTTCTGATAATATTGACAGTAAAATAGTGCCATCTGAGTCCATTCTACTGAAGTCTCTTTCCTTTTTCTCCTATCTATTCCTTCGTCAATCTATTCAGTAGAATATCTCCCTTGTATTTCTCTTTATATTGCTCTCTTAAATTTCTTTGCAACCTAACACATATTCTATCAAAAATATCAGATCTAGAGCTGCAACTTCCTCAAACCAAAGTCACAAAATTTAATGACAGCATATGTATCATATGGAGACACATATATAATAGAGGCATATATTATAAAGAATCAGTACTATAAAATTACAAGAAAATTTTTCGGAATTCTCCACAAGTCTTTATCTCTAATGTCACCTTCTTCTAGTAAGATTTTGCCACAAATAAAAATGATTTATTATATTTAAATATATTTTCCATTACATTTATTAATATCAAACACTGTTGTTTTCTGCCTTTTTTTTTTTTTTTTTTTTTTTTGAGACAGTCTCACTCTGTCGCCCAGGCTGGAGTGCAGTGGTGTGATCTTGGCTCACTGCAACCTCCGCCTCCTGGGTTCAAGCTATTCTCTTGCCTCAGCCTCCCGAATAGCTAGGATTACAGGTGTCTGCCACCACGCCCGGCTAATTTTTGTATTGTTAGTAGACATGGGGTTTCACCATGTTGGCCAGGCTGGTCTCAAACTCCTTACCTCAGGTGATCCACCCACCTTGGCCTCCCAAAGTGCTGGGATTACAGGCATGAACCACCGCTGCCCGGCTTGTTCTCTGCATCTTTAAAACTGCAGATACACAACATTTCTTGCCTGAAATAAGATATTTATATAAGTGATTAATTTCCATTCAAAAAATGTTATTGTTTTCCTAATGTCTAAAATCTCATATATCACCAAAGCCTGGCACCTAGTAGGTAATCACTAGAGGACAATTAACCTATACTCAAGTGTGTTCAGCAGTACTAATTTACTTAACCCTTTTATGCATTTTAATATATACCATCCACCTTTTCAGTTTGCTCTACATTCTAGCTCTAGAAATTTATTCATGACTTTAGATGCCAGAGCTAGCAACTCCCAAATCTGTATCTTCAGCCCAAGCTTCCTCGGGAATTCCAGACCTATTATCCACTTTACACTGTTTATCTTCAACTAAATATCTGCCTGACATCTCAAATGAGCACATGCAAAATCATCATCCACTTTCGGCTCCTCCTCAATCTTTTTGTCTTTTTAATGACTACACCCAACCAGACCAACATTTTAGTCCTTTCTAGAAATCTCTCTCTTCCACACACCCAAGTTACCCTGCATCTCTTCCTGAATACATTTCACTAAACCAGAGTTGCAGAGTACAAATATAACATGAGTCACAAATGGAAGCCACATATATAATTTATAGTTTTCCAGTAATCACTTTAGAATATTATAAAAATGAAACATTTTAATATTTTATTCAACAACAATATATGTAAAATATACCAACTTGCAATTAATATAAAAATGTTTACTGAGATATTTATATTATTGTGTTCATACTCAGTCTTACTCTTATGGCACATAACAATTAGGACTTGCCGCATATCAAGCATTCAATAGTGGCATGTGGCTAAAGGCTACTAGATATCACAGCTCTGACCACTACTCTCCACGTATAATTGTTTTGAGGTCCTCTTGTCACCCCATTGGTGAGACAGGGATTCCTACCCTAGGGTTGTGAAAAATGCCTGAACACATAACACTCAACACAAGACAGATGAGATCAACTGTACTCACAGCCCAGAGAGGAGGACATCCCATGCCATGCAGACCCACAGGGGCTTGCACTTAGGAACACAGTGAACAATTAGGGGCTGTGGGAGGCAGGTTTTGGAGTACCAATAGAAAGAGGTCATTGCTAGCTCCCACAGGAAGATGTGATGGGCTTGTCTGAATTCCTCTGCAGATAGGGAACTAAAACCTGCTACTCAGGGATAAGCAGAAACTGCAATGAGTCCATTTAATCAGGAGGATTTTTGACTAGAAAGCCTTATCCACTGGAGCAGAAAGGTAAGAGAAAACTTGTGGGTATGCCATTCAAGGTCTTTCTGATTTTGCCAGATGTCAAGAAAGCACATAATATTAAGCCTTAACTTTCAGCCTCATATCACACCTCTCAACACTCTTTTACTCTCTCTAAGTTCTCATTATCTCCCTTTGTTACAGCCGGGAACTTTCACTTCTCTCTAAATCATACACCACACTACTGATGGGATAGTCTACATAGCTTGTACATTGGACTATAACATTTCTTCCCTTAAAAAACTCTAAATCTTCCTCCAAATGAAATGTTTGAAAACGCCACGATATATTCTATGAAGTGTTTTATAAGCTAAGATTTTGTATACCAGACTATTCTTTTCTTTCTTTCCGTCTTTCTTTCCTTCTTTCTTTCTTTCTTTCCTTCCTTCCTTCTTTCTTTCTCTTTCTTTCTTTCTTTCCTTCTTTCTCTCTTTCTTTCTTTTTCTTTCTTTCTTTCTTTCTTTCTTTCTTTCTTTCTTTCTTTCTTTCTTTCTTTCTTTCTTTCTTTCTTTCTTTTCTCTCTCTCTCTCTCTCTCTCTCTTTCTTTTTTTTTGAGACAGAGTTTCGCTCTTGTTGCCCAGGCTGGAGTGCAATGGCGCTATCTCGGCTCAACACAACCTCTGCCTCCCAGGCTCAAGCGATTCTCCTGCTTCAGCCTCCCAAGTAGCTGGGATTACAGGAGCCTACCACCATGCCCGGCTAATTTTTTGTATTTTTAGTAGAGACAGGGTTTCACCATGTTGGCCAAGCTGGTAGTGAACTCCTGACCTCAGATGATCCACTTTCCTGGGCCTCCCAAAGTGCTGGGATTACAGGTGTGAGCCACCGCACCCAGCCCAGACTATTCTGTTTTTTATTATTTTTTTATTTTACAATCTCTTAAAAATTACATTGCTAATTCTAGTAGCAACAAACCATTTGCAATTCTCCAATTACTATAATTTTTACATCTTCAGGCCTTTGTATGTAATGCTGCCTAGAACACTTTTTTGTCCCTTCCTCAACCAATTTTCTGTATGAACTGGAGTTGCTGATTCACTTACATAATAAAACTGGACCTCAAGCAACCTAGCTGTGAAAGTTCACTTACTTTTCCTCCCCTATTCCTTTATATCTAAAATACAGAAATATCAAGCTTCTAAACTTTACAAGATTTCACATGGCTCTCCAGCTTAAAGTAGTTTCAAAAAATCTCCTGGTTCCCTTGGCATTAGGCCATCAATATCTGGGTATTAATGATAATATATTTAAACTGTAATCCCAGAAGGTGATTTGATATTCTTCCATTATACCATTATTGTTGAATCTACATTGTACTGTAATATTTTACATGTCTATCTATATGATAAAATGTAAGTTATAAAAAGGAGAAACGTCTTTTCATTTTTGGATCTCTCATGCAGAACACAGTATCTGGCACAAAATAAGTAAAGTGAGTGTTAAATGATCTTACATCTTTACACTGGTGGGATATTAATTTCTAAGTATAAAATTCTAAGTATAAAATTTCTAAGTACAAATTTCTAAGTATAAAAATTACTGTCATTCTGTCATTCACAGTCTCAAAATATACATTTTCAAGGATGTTTGGGTTTAGGAGTATTGACTGTTTTCTGTGAGTCTTTATGTGTGTATATCTAAGTCACCTATTCTGGCTTAATAAGACCATGCTCCCACTTTGCCAGACAGACAAATTTAAGCAACTCTAAACACATAAAAATTTAACTACATCAGATATTGTTCTTTTGTATTAATTTAAAGATCTCACAGCATTTTTTTCCTACCAATACATTTGTTTATAATCAGAGCAAAGCTAAGAACTGTCTATCTACAATGCAATTAGTGTGGTGACAGTGCATGGCTTAGAATTAAAAAGAGTTCAACTTATTGAAGGGAATAAAAGATCACTGTCTTAGTATTTGACTATTGAAGCCCTGAGTTTCATATATTTTTTTCTACTGACAAAGAGAATAATGCTAATTGTTTAATGATATGTTTAAAATGTCTGTAAATACTGCCAAGAAAAAGGATAGGTGAAATTGTTATGTCAGAAAGCCTTGGCAGTTTTTCATTTGAATTCAAGTGGAATTAAAATATCCCCACATAATCAGGTATATCCATGTAAACAAGATTATTTCTAGAATATTCTGAATTATTTAAGGCTCCATTCTCACATCCTTAAATTTCATAAGTCTTTCCAGAAATCTAAATAATATGCCAAAAATACAACACTAGCAACACGGTAAGAATACACAGCAGAAAAGAGAAATCGGAAACCAATGTGCAAGAATACAGAAGAATAATGACTGCATTCCTATGACCACCAATGGCCATTTCCAGATCACATGTGTTGGTGTAAGAGAGAAAATTTACTATGAGTTGTACAATTATCAGCAATGTGTTCAGAAAAGCAGGAAGAAACTTCAACTGTTTTTGATCCAGAACAAGATATGAGAGTGTGTCAGGGGAGCAAATCTTACCTTGCATGTATTTTTATTTTTCTCCCATCTTGTTTGCTGATGAGAATAGATCACAAGTCAAAGATAGAGTAGTATGTGGTGGGGAGTATTGAGGGTGATGGGCTTATGGTAACCCACTTGGCATTTGAGGTGCAAAATGTACAGACTTTGATTTGTCTGGGTTACCTAAAATAAGCTCACTTCACTCTACAGGGCGAAGCTGTAGACATGATTTTCTCTCTGTGCCTCCAGATAGCAGTCTATACATGAAACTCTAAAGTCCAGATCAATTGTAATTCTCTCTTGCATGCTTCCAGAATGTTGCCAGGAAATCACAGTTTTTACACAGAAGTCTTTAACATGTTAATTAAATTAAGCATATATAAGCCTGTAATTATGTCTTGAAGAGATTGGTAATGTTCCCTGTAGATGAGACTCTGAGGCCACTTGGATCCCATTTCAGCAGCACGGCAAAGCTAAAAGAAATAATGCAATCGATTTAGATAACAAAAGTTATAGTGCCTTTGTCACAGGTGACACAC